AGGGCTCAGATCTTTCTGAAGTGGTAGGACCAGCATGGAGTGGTATTAAAAAAACCACTGGATCACGTAACTATTTGATTATTATGATTAATACGGAAAGTCAGGTAGGATAACCTGGGCGTGCCTGTCCTCATCTCCAATACAAATTGCTCTGTCACAGTAAATACCCAATAGTCTCTCCCTAAATGCAATAAAACACATCAGTAAATTTGAGTAGGAGAAAAAAAATAAACAAGCTGTATCACAAATATTCCTTACCCCCCTAAATTCTCTATGTTCCCAGCTAATGGAAAAATTAGCTCCTTATGCATGAGAGTTGATGTTGGTTTGTTGTTATTATTAGGGAGGTAATTATTTGCTCAGCACAAGAAAAAAAAAAAAGCCAATATATTCTATCAGGGAACAGAGAGTTTTTCAGGCAGGCTACACATACTCTGAATGTTGGGACAGAATTTAAATCAGCCACGAAATGAGCTAGTTTTCCACAAAGCTGAGACTAAAAACCTTGCCACTGAGAAAGAAAACCAAAAATGTCTTTAACCATAAATAGCAAGCCGAGAGGACATTCCTAAACCCACTGGTCACATGTAGTTATCGATGTTCGCTCTCTGGACAGTTTGGAAAGAGGAAGTGGAGGTGGGATTTCTCGGGAGCTCCCTGGAACAACTGTACAAAGACAAATGGGGGTGAGAAGAAGAATAAGAAGACCAAAGCTTACACTATGTTGCATTGTCCTCCACACAATCCTCTGGGAAGCAAGAGGAAAACAAATTCAAAGGAAAAAGAAAGAGAGATTATTCTATACATAATAGTACAGCACAGGTATAACGTTTAGCTTTGCAGACTAGCATTCCACCCACCACCACTCCCAGTCCCCTCAGAATGACAAGTAGAATATTCAAGAACCTGCACACATGGCCTGGTGTTGAATACTTACTGGAGACCCATTGGTCTAACTCATTGCCAACTTGATTGAATTAACTTCCAAGTCCAGTATTTTTTTTATCTACTTTAATAAAACGTATTCTGCTAAGACACACAATTTACTGTATTATTACTTTTGCTCTAACTAATCAGCTGCAGTAAAATAACTGACATTTTCTGCCCAAGCGTGTCCAGGGGTTGTATAGCATGTTGTACAGTAATATTCTGAGCCGTACAACTAACCGTCCTTAACAGAGGATGACCTGAAACACTGCGCTGTGGGCAGCTCTTAAAAATCCAGCTATTTTTATGCTGATTTATTCTTATACTCTATACTGTCAGTGACGGCTGGGTGAAATTTTCTCTAAAGAAATAATTATTTTGCACTAAATTATTAAGAGAATTCACAGGATGTAAAGTTAAGAAATAAAGAGAGAATCAATCTCTTCCTGATTTCAAATAAACACCCCTAGTCTATTTAATTGAAAATCCGTAACAGTGGGCTGGGACAGAAGGACTACTAGAGTGAGTGTGGGTGATAGGAAAGAGACACAGGATAACGGGACCAGTTTGTTAATCAGATTAGTTGATGGCATTTTTATCTTGAACAAACCATAGCAGGAAGGACTGTAGTTATTTTCTGATGAGTCAGCTTTCCATCAGCAATGGAATTTATATGAGGATATTCATTCATTATGGGGTGATAAAAATTACTTTACAATAGCATGTCTGAAAGCTATACCTAAACAATTTTCTTTTTGCCAGTATAAATTTGGAGGAACATATGGAGTGTTTCCTAATGATATAAAATAATTGACTGCTTTATAAAGGTAAGAAGAGACTAGATGATGCTACTGATATATTTTAAAGAGAGAGTTTTGTTTTCATTATTTTATATAAGGTTTAGCACCAGTTTACCCAGTTGGGGATTAGGAGATTTACTTCTAAAAACAATCCCCATAACTACCACTTCACATAAAAAATAGCTTTATAATAGCTGGCATAAGAACATTTACCGATGGAACCCAAAGTTAATGCCACAGGTACTAATTTTAAATCGTAGTAAGAAGTGATTCTCTAAGTTTTACAGTTAAGTCATTTTCACTTTGGCAAAAGGGGTGGGGTGATTGGGATGGTCTTTCAGTTGCTGTCCTTTTGAAGCATGTGCTCTGCTGAAACACTGAGAGAAATTAAAGGAAGTCTTTTCCAATTACCCTTCTTTTTGGGGACACAGGCTTCTTATAAATATTCAGGAAACATCGTTGCAGGAGAAAATGAAAACAGGAGTAGGTAACAAGAGATTTGTTCATAAACATTCCAAATAGGCAGTAATATATGTCAGACCCAGCAGGACCCTTCACCTACACATGCATCTTGAGGATGATTTTATCTGACTGATGCCCAGCACTGTCTGGCCAAGGGAACCTCTCCAACCTTTTCGTTATTCAGAGCTGTGTTGACCCCACAAAGGAAAGAAAGCTTTGGAGGAAACAATGGCTGCACATGGAGATTCTGATGTTAGCTTTGGAGCTAGCTTGTGTTTCTCAAGAATAACCTTGTCTTGCTTCTGTTGACAAGGAAGCAGTTCCTTAGCCTTAGGGGTGGAAAAGTAGCTCCAGGTTGGTTATGAATGGCTATGAATTACCAATTGCTGATTCTTACAATCTGAGAAGGAATCAGAATTTAATTGAATAAGAAATTAATAAAACTGCTATTCTCCCTTATAGAGCCTGGAGCTACACCTATGACGAAGTAAGTACTCATGCCACTGGAGAATATTTTAGAATAAAATTGGTTTATTGATTTGGATTTGTATACACTGACTCTGGTCCTTATGTACTTTGAGTTTGAAAAGGAAAGTGTCAGTCGCTCAGTCATGTCCGACTCTTTGCGACCCCATGAACTGCTCGTCCATGGAATTCTTCAGGCCAGAATACTGGAGTGGGTAGCCGTTCCCTTCTCCAGGGGAGTATCTCTTGAGTTTAGTCTTTGTTTTTTCCTCATGATATGATTAACCATTACTAATTCTTTTAAAAAATGATTAAATATACTTTAGGGGTGCATAAAATAGAAGATCCTAAATCAGTTTGCTATTTTCCAGGACTTCTCAAGACTCTTATATTTGGGGCATTTTGAGGATGGCCAGTGAAGTTCCTTTTTAAAAGAAAAGGTTCCAATTCCAATTTCCATATCTACTAGATTTTAGGCATCATATAAAATTCTCAAAGTGTTGATGTTTTATTCGAGCTGTACTGAATTGTACAAATACTGTTGCCTTGGGAAAAGCATTTTGCTCGCTCTACTTCCTTTATTTGAGTGTGTGAATGTGTGTGAGTGTGTGTGTGTGTATGTGAGTGTGTGTGTGAGTGTGTGTCTTTATCTTTCCTGGGAGGAGAGAAGACTGTGCTTCTGTTTCAAAGGCAAAAAAATTAATTAGTAGTAGATGTCATTATATTGTTCAAAATCAATGCAGTTTTAACTAAGTGGATAATGTTCTCCACTTGTTTTCCAATTTTATTTTCCTGTGGTAAGAACATTTAACCTGAGATCTAGCCTCTTAACCAATATAGTACTGTTATCTATAGCACAATGGTTGCACAGCAGATCTCCAAAACTTACTAATCTCGCATTGTGCCTAGTTCTGAAAGTAGAATTTATAAAAATTCTGAAAAGCATGAATTGTTTCAATAATTATGCAGAGCCAACTGAAATAGGAAAGGAAAAAAGAAGGAAAGGGAGACATGGGGAGGTCAAGCCCATACTCATAAACTGCTTTGGTTAAAAGGATCTTGGCATATAAAGAGATTTATAAAATGAGAATGCAAACAATGGAATCTAATGAAACCATCATTTTGTTGAAAAGAAAAAAGGTGACTAACTTTAAACTTTTCCTGAAATTGTGAATGGACAATAGATATAACTAAGGTAAAGTACAAAGGTGAAGCAATTACACAGATTATCCCTTTTGCAAAACCTATACTGAAGAGGGAGTTTTACTTGCTAATAAACAGTAAATTTATAACATAATTTAGTGGCTAATGACTGCACTTACCCCTTCATATTGGAGCTTCCTGGATAGGCCTTTGTGTTGTAAGTACATTTGATTTTATAGAGAATAATGCTGAGATTACTTATTATGAGGTCAAATGCTACCAATTTAATCTTACAAGTTCTACACTGTAGATGGATATTAACTAAAATGATAATTTATAACAGTGACTAATAAAAGTATTTTCATAACCAGAAACCCTTGGGATCTGAGTTTATATGACATAATCAGATGTGGTTCAAGTGTTTATGACCTTAAGGCTTTTATCTGTTAATTTTACATCAAGATAATTGGCAAAGCAACATTAACAGCACTAACAATTACAGGTATATAAATTGTTTATACTGCTATAAATTATATTGAAAACATTCAGGCAGTTTTTCTTGGAAATTATGAGCTTTTCATTTTTGTAGCAAAATTTGATGTCTGAAACACATTGAAAATCATGTTTACTATATTTATCATTGTAATCTCCAAGTAAATGGCTTCAATGATAGATATTTGGTCCCCTGACACACATTTAAATGGATCAAAGAGTGACTATTTCTAAGGATGTCAACTTTTAAAATACACACAAAAAAGAAAAAAAATAGTGGTAATATTGATTTGGAGTCTTTGGCAAGGTATTTTCAAACAGAAAACTTTACTAAGGAACATTCATAATAAAGTTACACTGTATCATAATTAAATAAATAACTAAAGTAGATGAATAAGAAATGTGCTTTTGTAATTATATCTCTGGAAGACATTGTAACTTAGTCTTCAAATTAATATTTCAGAAGAAATATGGAGTTGAAAATCTGGTCATTGGATGAGTGGATTAATAGCGATAAGACTTCTTAAATAACCTAATTCTTGACCTAAAAGGAAGATCTCATTACTTTTCAATATTCTAATTAAGATCAGGAGCAGATATAAGGCTGGAATGACTTTTACAACCAACTTTTTCAGAATTCCATCACGTCTTCTGAAGAATAACCTTGGTAACAGAAAGTGGCCACGATGACCATCAATCTGGGGGACTCACCAGCCGGTCCAAGCTCGTGCCAGCAGCAGTGGTAGGTCTTTCCTCAGGATTGTAAGGCCTGAATCGTGTATTAAAATTTTCAGGAGCTGAGCGAGCAGATCTGAGAGCTGGAGCAGGTTTGGGTTGGCCACATCCCTGAAACACCTGGAAGAACCATGGAAAGATTAGGAAGTTACACAAGGAGTTTCTTCCTAGAGCACGCAGTGCGCTGGCTTCCACATTTTTATGGAACTCTTATCTCCAAAACCACTCTGACTCTGAAACCTAAACAAGTACAAACACCAGTGAAACAGAATTACCCCATCAAAGTGACTGACTTATAACCGGACTCTCATTTTCAACATATACAGTCAGTCCTCGTTACTTATGGATTCTGTTTTTGTGAATTTGCCTACAGTTGACCCTCTCCTGGATTTGATCCCTGGGTTGGGAATATCCCTCGAAGAAGGGAATGGCAACCCATCCCAGTATTCTTGCCTAAGAAATCCCACGGACAGAGGAGCCTGGCAGGCTACAGTCCACAGGGCTGTAAAGAGTTGGATGTGACTGAGGGACAACCCTTTCACTTTAAACTGGTCCTCTCCGTATCTATGGGCTTCCCTTGTGGCTCAGTTGGGAAGGAATCCGCCTGCAATGCGGGAGACCTTAGTTTGATTGCTGGGTTGGGAAGATGCCCTGGAGAAGGGAAAGGCTACCCACTCCAGTATTCTGGCCTGGCGAATTCCATGGACTATTTAGTCCACGAGGTTGCAAAGAGTCAGACACAACTGAGCGACTTTCACTTCACTTCTCCATATCCATGGGTTTCGAATCTGCAAATTCAACCAAACTCAGATCGCATTCAATTTTGAGATTTGCAGGGGCTCCTGGAACTAATCTCCTGCAGATAGTGAGGGAAGACTGTACTCATTAAAATTAATTTGTAACCCCCCAAATAAAAATTCAAACATGTCTGCAGACATCGGCAGAGAGGCCAAGTTCATTTTTCCAGCTGAAGTAGTCTAACAAGGCAAAGCTCTGCCTTCTTGTTTCAGCTCTTAAACTGTAAATGAGTTTCTCCTTGGTGATATATTTAATGCCACATTTTTTTGTGTGTGTTTTACAAATACTTGGTGATTTCCCTTTTTAAAACAGCCCCCAACTGTAGCGTTGAAGTTCTGTCTAGTTCCTAACGCTATGATATGCCCTATGGAGAAAACTGTGTTTTAGATAAACTTCATTCAGGTATGAGTTATGGTACACTTGACTATGAATTCAATGTTAATGAATCAATAAAGTGAAAGTGAAGTTGCTCAGTCGTGTCCGACTCTTTGTGACCCCGTGGACTGTAGCCTACCAGGCTCCTCCAACCATGGGATTCTTCAGGCAAGAATACTGGAGCGGGTTGCCATTTCCTTCTCCAGGGGATCTTCCCAACCCAGGGATCAAACTCAGGTCTCCCACATTGGAGGCAGACACTTTAACCTCTGAGCCACCAGGGAAGCCCAATGAATCAATAATATGTATCAAATAAGGTGTCTTTCAGGATAGACACATAAAACAAGGCTATATGCATTGACTGGTTGGTGAAAATGTGACAAAAAGCTTGAAGGAGAGGTTGAGTGGGATGGATTGGGATACCGGGATTGACATATATACACCACTATGTATAAAATAGATAACTAATGAAAATCTACTTCAGAGAACAGAGAACTCCACCCAGTGCTCTGCGTGACCTAAATGGGAAGGAAATCCAAAAAAGAGGAGACACACATGTATGTATAGTTGATTTACTTTGCCATATAACAGAAACTAACACACTATAAAGCACTATAAAGCAACTATACTCCGATTAAAAAAAAAAAGCTTGTAGGAACCTAACCCTGTATTTCTCATAGGAGCAATGGTTTAGTATTTGCTAATTCAGGGTCTGCGGTGACTTATAGAACATAACTTTACAGATAATGAGAATCGACTATATTCAACATGGAATGATTTCTGGATCAAAGAAATGTCCCAGATATTTTCATGTCCTTGAATTTGTCATTCAAGAAACATTTGTTTGGGATTCTTGTTACTGATACAAATGTATCTCATGTATAGCCTGAATGTGTGCTAGGTTATGTCTGACTCTTTGCAACCCCATGGACTATATATAGTCTGCCAGGTTCCTCTGGCCATGGGATTCTCCAGGCAAGAATACTGGAATGGGTTGCCATTTCCTTCTCCAGGGGATCTTCCTGACCCAGGGCTTGAACTCGAGTCTCCTGAATTGGCAGGCAGATTCTTTACCACTGAGCCACCTGGGAAGCCCCTCATTTATAACATATAAAGTCAAATAACTTGAGTGTCTCCCCTTTGAATAATGAAAGCCTTTACTGGAAGAATTCTTTGAAAACACTCTCTTGAGCCACAGTGAAGAAATAGGACAAGCAAATGTGGATAAATTCCCTAGAATGACAGATCCTTCTAATTTTGTTGTTGACAGCTGTTCATGTCACAATTAGGCTTGCCATGGGAAATCAAACATTCTATTGTAATGATCTCAGGGACCGAGCTGCTAGTTCTTTTCCACAGTGATTTCACTTGGGGTGCTGTGGGAATACCTCCTTTGCTAGTTTGATTTTATTTATTTATTTATTTTGCTAGTTTTAGAAGCTTCGTACTCTCTGCTGGTTATCCAGAGATAATCCCTTTGCCAGGATTACAGGAAATCTAGTTACATTTCCAGGAAGTTTTGATGAAGTTTAACTTTGCCTTTCTTTCTACACAGGAGATGGTTCTACCCTGGACACTTTCTTTAGTAAGCTTTTCGGGACTATTTATGTCATCCAATTCTTAATGTACACGGCTGTGTTGAGAATGCATTCCTTCTGGCTTTGTTATTTGATTCTGTGTTGTTTAACTCTAAAATACAAGTTTTTCATTAGGCATTTTATGGGATTTCACTGAAGTATACAGAGGGCTCCTGGGTGTCATTCTCAATGACAAATTCCAACTTGAGACACGATTCATTTAGCTGTTCCATGAGAACTGACTTCCCCTTTGTTGTATTCAAAAATTCTCCTTCCACTCAGCACTTTCAGAGCAGGCGCACTTTGTCTCGGCATTCTTCGAGATTGGTCTTAACACGCTATTGATTCTTCTCTCACACAGTTTCTGAAGCTGATGGTGTAAACCGGTGTGATAAAGATAGTGGGCCCCTTTCTCCTAGTGCTAAATCACTTCCCAGTGGCAAGGTCATGGCTGATGGAGGGCATTAACATTTCCAAAGCTCCAGGGTTCAGTTGAGTGTGCTATTTTGGATCGCTTTGAAAATGACAACTGACTTTTAAAAAGTAGAAAGCCTAGGGCAAAACAATATTAATGGCCTTGCTGAGATTTCTTGAAGCTGTTGCACGTAAAGAGTTAACAGACCTTCTTAATTTGCCCTTGGGAAGAGGCTGGCTCACTGGTTTAAGTTAAATCAAAGGAACAAGAAATGCCCTGGAAGAATATTAGTATCCCAAGGGAGATATTTCATTGTAACAGAAAACTTTACCACTTCTTTGATTTTTTTTTTTTTGAGAGTGTTAATTATGATAATAGAATGTGGTAAGTCAATATAGTTTTCTGCTCATAGCTTTCTGTTAATAAATCAGGTTTGGATTTTGAAGATGATTTCAAGGCAGAAATTGCTGGGTCTATGATCTATGATCCAAACTGAAGAAGACACAGACTTCTAATATTATGGAAACAACACCTAACCCCATAATAAGGTGAAGACCCACATAGAAATCTGTCACAATATGTAAAGATATGAATCGTGAGGGGCCTTGAACACAGATTCTAGTATACTCTTCAGTTCAGTTCAGTCACTCAGTAGTGTCCGACTCTTTGCAGTCCCAAGGACTGCAGCATGCCAGGCCTCCCTGTCCATCACCAACTCTTGAAGCTTGCTCAAACTCATGTCCATCAAATCGGTGATGCCATCCAACCATCTTGTCCTCTGTAGTCCCCTTCTCCTCCTGCCTTCAATCTTTCCCAGCATCAGAGTCTTTTCCAAGGAGTCAGTTCTTTGCATCAGGTGGCCAAAGTATTGGAGTTTCAACTTCAGCATCAGTCCTTCCAATTAATATTCAGGACTGATTTCCTTTAGGATTGACTGGTTGGATCTCCTTGCAGTCCAAGGGACTTTCAAGAGTCTTCTACAACACCACATTTCCAAAGGATCAATTCTTTGGTGCTCAGCTTTCTTTTTAGTCCAAGTCTCACATCCATCCATACTAGAAAAACCATAGCTTTGACTAAATGGACCTTAGAATAAGGGAATTGTTTTAAGAGCATTTCTTTAGTGTGGAAGTGCCAAGCTTAATGATGGAGAACAGTTTTTCAGAAATTTACAAAACCTAAACATACACACACACACACACACACACACACACACACACACACACAAGATATCAGAGCATCAGCTCACCGTGTCCTTGTTAGAGAGTGATTTAAAATACCTTGATTCTCATGAAGAGAATGTATCTTAAACAACATATATCCGTCAAATAAATTAGACGGCATATAAAATGAAAATTAATAATTTCATTCTTACTACCTGCAATCGGTTAGCTAGACAAATATTTTTAAAACATGGGTTTCATGAAGTGGTTGAAAAAAAGGATTCAGAACATTTGGACTATCTCAGACAATTTTCTGAGCCTGCTCTAGCAGTAGGCTAGGGGAAATTCTATGGCTCCTGAAGTTCAGAGCTATATTACTACAAAGGAACAATGAGCCTTATTCTTCTTGTTCTGGGCACCCCAGTATTTTGTATTTTGAATAAGGGTAGAAACAGATGAGGAATAATGTGGGGATAAAGGTCTTCAGTTAAAAGTCTGTAGATCAAGTCTCCCCCCAAAGAATGGTCAGAACTAGAGATGCAGATTTGGGTTACTAGCCTAAAGACGGTATTTAAAATCCTGAAGCTGGCTGTACTATGGATAGGTATCCAGAGAGGTGGCAGGAGGGGCTGAAGACAGCCCAGGGTCAAGTCAACATTCAGAGGACCTCCTTGAATCTTAGTTTCTTCCTCTGACAAATGGGAATAATATTATTTACCACACAGACAGACTGTGAGGATAAAATGCAATAATACCTAAGGCAGGAAAACAGAAGCTAATGTCTGGAAAAGT